TATGTACAAATTTATACATATTTTTACCTGTTACGCAGCTTTTTTTCAGGTTACCCATCCCAACCCGCTGCAGGACTCTGTGGCGGACATGTTGGACCTCCCTCTTTCATTCCTTCAGCCACCTTCTTCAAAAGGTTTGTGTTGTGATATTTGTGCGTATCCATCACCTGCTGATATCCACGTCTTTCATCATGTTTAAAAGCCGATGCATCAGGTGCTGTTTTATTTCTGACTGGTGCAGTTTGAGGTGGTACAGTTGCCCCCGCTCTCCCCTAATGTATATTTGTATGAGGCACACATGGGGGAAAGTCACACATGTCACAAGCAAGTCTCAAGTCTTTACCTTCAAGTCTCAAGCAAGTCCCAAGTTAGTTGTGGTGAGAATCAAGCAAGTCAAGTCGAGTCATTGCTCAGGTCAAGTCATATGTCACATACAGCAAACATCTCCTCACGATCCGCTAGCTACACGTCCTCTGAATATGCTGTGAGTCCGGTCCGGTCTCTGTCGGCAGCCCAACAACAACATCTGAGTCCAGGCTGCACCAACCAGCCAGCGCCAGACCAGCGAAAGCAAGCACACACACATGAACGCGGTGCCCAGAGAGGCAGTTAGAGCTACAAGCTACAATGAGGCTGAAAACAGAGTTCAAACAGGGCTCTCTCTTTTTCACTAGGAGCACATGTGCACAGGTTTCAGGTTCATCGCATGAACTCAGCTAAATTTTAAAAATCTAATTCATGGTGAAGGGTCATGCATTTTCCACCAGTCACTTTGAAAAGCTCAAGGAAAAATATTTGTGGCTACAGGGGGATCAAAATAAAATAAAAACCAACCAGCCACCCTCCTCCTCTGATAAGTGAAGAACAGTCCCTTATCAGTGCATAAACCACACACATCATGCAGCCCGGTTGGTATATTTTAGCACATTCCCTAATAGACCCACAGTGGGCTGGGTGCTAACAGTCACTGTGGAGGAATTATTGGACCTGGAGCCGGGCTTCTCCGTCGCCGGTAAACTGTCATCTTGCGGTGGCCGTAGTGCTCCGCCATATTCCTGTCTGTGACCCCTGTTCAACCCACAACCGGCAGGATTTGCTAGCTCCGCTGTATTTGATAACATTGTTGAATGTAAACAGAAGTGACAACCAGCGGTGCTTAACGTGCCTTCAATATTGAATTAAAGCCAAGTCCTCTCAAGTCATCTGTTTCAAGTCAAAGTCAAGTCTCAAGTCATGAATACAAAGTCAAAGTCAAGTCGAGTCTTTTATCAACGTTAGTCAAGCAAGTCTCAAGTCATCATATTTGCGACTCGAGTCTGACTCGAGTCAAGTCATGTGACTTGAGTCCTCCATCTCTGGTGTGAGGTTTTAGATATGATGAACTTTACTGCTTTTAATTATACTTTACTTTTTATAGACTGTATCTTTTCATCAGAGACCAACGGTGTAAACAAGACACCTATGTAACTGTGGCTCAACAGCTGTGTTGAGCAGGACCTCTGTTAGACAAACTAATAAACTCAACTAAGGGACTGTTCATTACTTATGAGGAGGAGGTGCAGAAAGGGGAAGGCATGTCAAATAATTTTTAAGCACTGGTGAGGGGCTTATGTTTTCTCGTTTTGGCTTAGGGGAGGGGCATACACATTTAATATGTTTTATTTTGTGTTTATTTTACAGCTGATTGGTGAAGGAAACATGCTTTCCAAATTTTGGCATAAAATTTTGTGGAATTTTGAAATAATTGCATCCTTCCAAATTCTGGTGATTTGCCTTTTAAAATTGATTCTAAATTTTGGCAAAAACACCTTCCAAACCTGCAGGAACTGTAAAAACAGAAATTTTCATTTTAAAATTCAGAAGGTCCTGTGTTTTAACATTTTTATTCTATGTACATTTGTGAGCACGTCAAAAATGAATTTCCATTGCTTCTTGCAAGGGACAATAAAGGTTTTCTGATTCTGATTCTGACACATCATATGTGATGAACACTTCCATCAGAAAAAAACAAAACCAAATCTGATCTTAAAATAGTGATATTTCATCAAAATCACTTAATTCTATGTCTCATATAAGAGTGGAAAACTGAGGCTTTTTTCAACTCCATTATTTCGTCTCCAACTTTTAACTTTCAAACATCAAAGGTAAGTTTTAAAAATCTAATAAGTCATTTATGGTGGAGGGAGGGTCATGGATTTTCCTCCAGTCACTCAGGGAGGATCAAGGGGAAGTATCTGGAGCTTCAGGGAGAGTAAAAAAAGTCACACCTCTCCTCTGATAAGTAAAGAACAGTCCCTTACCTGCCTCCCTCTGCTTAAACAACAGAGAAAAAGTCAGATTTACTCAGGTGCTCACAAACATTATGAAAAAAACTTTGTAGCATTAAAAATATTTATTTTTATAGTTGTTTGATTGAGAAACATTCAAGTTGGATTTAATTGCAGCCTAATTAAAGCTGGTCCATCAGAGTCAGTCAGGTTTCATCTGTGTGCTTTGATGTTAAACATGTTCACACTGCAGCATCAGTACCTGCTGACAGGTGTGTGACCTTTAACCCTGTGTTTCCGTTAGACACTCGGTAGCGCGCGGTGGGCGGGGTCAGCACCCGTCAGGCACTGTGAGGACTGAGCGCGTGCTGTCAGGAACACCTGGTGATGGCCGGTGAACACTTCACGAGACTGACGGGACTCTTTTGTCTCCTCCTCTAAATGTAGCCACCGTACAGACACACACAGCAACGTTTAACCGTGAAGAAGTGACGTCAACCCGGTGAGAGAAGCAAACCTGACGGCAACAGGAGACCGGAGCCGGGATGAGGAGTGTCAGAGACGATGGAGAGGTGACGGAGGAGTCGGTTAATCGGTTTACAACAGGTAGGACCAGTTTAATGCTTTTAAACTTCATGTTAACGGTTTTTAACGTGTTTCAACTGTCGAGACATCTGAAGGTCTGTGTGAGGGTCACAGTGCTGCTGTCTAAGGGACTGTTCTCTATTCACCACGGTCAGAGAGGAGGCTCGAGTCTGACTGTGGTTATGTGTTTGTTTATTTATTGTGAGCCTCCCTCCACCCTAAATGACGTAGTAGATGTTTAAAACTTTGATGTTTGAAAGTTAAAAGTTGGAGATGAAATAATGGAAAAAGCCTCAGTTTTTCACTCTGGTCATGCAGACAGTTTATTTTTGAAATGAGACGTAGATCAAAGTGATTTTGATGACATCACCATTTTAAGCTCAGATTTGATTATGTGTTTTTTTTCTGATGGAAGTGTTTGTCACACATGATGTGTTCAAGGACTGTCAGAAATTGAGAACTCCAACAACACTTCCTGTCCTCACAGTCTCAAGCTGTGATCACTGGTATCGTTTTTGCAATTTTAAAAGAAAACATGGGGGCTTCAAAGATTTAAAAATCAGCAGTAAAATAAATACAATATACAAGCATGTAAACCTGTAGCCCCTCCCCTCAGCCAAAATAAACAACACAAGCCCCTCCCCCAGTGCTTAAAGAATTATTTATCATGCCTCCCTCTTTTTGCACCTCCCTGCAGCTGCACTAGAGGAGGGACACTTTACTGAAGAGTGACAACAAGAGTGGAAACAAGATTCTGGAAACAGTTTAATGTAGTTTGACTTGTTTTTGGTTCATATATCTAAACTGTTACACTCATTTAGTCAAAGATGACGTACAGCTGGAAACCTGCAAACACTAGCCCCTTTTTAAACAGGAACTGTGCAAATCTGCAGGAAAGCCCAATCAGTCTTTTTCAGCATTGGCAGTATAAAAACAAAATCGGGGAGTGCAGCAAAATGCCGCCTACCTACTTTTGTTTATACAGAATGTGCCTTTTTCGGGGCAATGGGGGGCGTGAGCAAGTAACAAAACGTGTAGCTCAGCGTGTGACGTAAACAGTGATGGGGGAGGGAAGCCGCGGCTGGTCAGTCCTTCGGCGATTCTCTCGTAAGTCGGCCCGTTCTTCACCGTCCCCGTCATCTGACCGTTAATGGCCTCTTCGTTTGCGAGGACAAGGAGGGCGCACAATTGACCTATGGCTAAGCCCCGCCCTCAAACGCGATGAGCCAATCACAGTGCGTATAGCCATTCCCATACACTGGGACATTCTCTGCCTGGACGTCCATTGAAATGCATTACAGAAAGTCAGTTTTGTTCAGTTTTATGAGCTTTTTCTGAGATTTGAAGTTTAAAAATGGTCAAACGGTGTGCATGGGGTACATGCAACTCTGACACAAGGTATCCTGAGAGGCTGGGCGACCAGGTGTATTTTTTACACTTTAAACCACATCTCAAGCGAGAAAAGTGTCTCCTTTGGATAAAGTTGTGTGGTAACGTTAGACCACAACATCAACTCAACGTGAATAAGATTAACAATGATGTCTACATCTGTTCTAAGGTAAGTCAACATTGTGTTTGAGGCAACATATTGTCACTTTGCTGGAAAGAAATATAAAGTTATCTTTAACATCTCTAGCTAATGTTAGCTAAAGTTAGCCTAACGTTAGCTCCTAGCTGCGGCTTATGATATCTACCGTACTGTCTCCGATGATAAATAAGACTCACAGAAGGCAAACTAAAACGCCCTCATTTCTTGATAGAGTTTAAAGATTGTAAAGGCAGGTCGTAGTTTTGTGCTTTTTGTCATCTTTGTCCCACACCAGAAATCCCTGACCAAGTGCTGGTATTCATCGACTTCAGAGTGAGACCAGGTAGATTAAGCGTCATCTATCAGTGAGGATTACACATTACAACCATCTGAAACTTCTCTTGGTCAGAATTCCTTCAGTGTTGATTGTTGAGGTGCTGAATTATCCTCAGAGTCTCTTCCTCTCAGAAACAAACACACCAGCTGATTTAAACTGGTAAAAGCCAGTGCTGCTTGTTGCCGAGGGGCTAATTACAGTGGTTGATGCAAAAATATGACTATGTGTATCCAGAGTCAGTGTTTGGTTTGTCCACTCTGGGCTACTGTAGAAACATGGCGGTGCAACATGGTGATCTCTGTAGACAAGGACCTGCTCCCTGTGTAGATATTAACAGCTCATTCTGAGGGAACAAGAAAACAACCATTCTGATGAAACACTGACAAATACACACTGTTAAGATTAATTTAAATCCTTCACCCCGGAGCTTTAAAGCGTTGCGTTGACATCGCTGCAGGTTTTCAGTCAGGACATGATGTGTCAGATGACGTGTGAGGAAGGCAGCAGGTCTCATAATATATGGACGGAGGAATGTGGAGCTCACAGGAAGAGTAAACAGTCACTGGTGCCAAAACGTGTAAACAAGCAGCTTTACATCCAACAAACAGTGAAATGTGGCGTCTCTGAAAAATGGTGTGTGTTTACAGCCTCACATTTACATTTCAGGACCTCTGGGAAAATATGAAACCATGAAATAAGCTGTAGGTAAACTTTACCTTTAAATCAGCTTCACATCCTGGATCAAGTTCATTGGACAGATCAGACAGGCCACAGATCATGTGACGCAGCACTGTGTTCCCTTCAGACGGGTTAAAATAGGAGGAAACACAAGTGCAGCAGCTTCATAAGACACAGACCAGACAGTCTAAATCTATATGATACATTAATCTATATGATACAAGACATTCATGTCGTTAAGTTTTTCTTTTTGTTCCATTTGTGCCAACAAACTGTCCTTTCACTGCGTGCTGACTCTGTGACGATTTCATGTGGAGAACACACAGGTGTAGGAGTCAGTTTAAAATGATCAGTCCATTAATTAATCACTGGCTCAGCAGACAAGTGATCAGATAATCAATCATTCAAGTCATTTTTAAAGCAAAGAACATTAAAGATTTGCTGCTTTTTTCACTTTTAAACGACTGTTAATTAAATAAAGTTTTTTTTTAGTGTTTATCAGACAAAACACAAAATTTGAAGACAGAATCTGGAAAGTTGTGAGCGACATTTTTTTTGTTTTACTATTTTCTTACATGTTATAAACTAACTGGTTCATTGGGTCAGTTTATTTTCTGTATTTATTTATCCACTATTTTATATCTTAATGTTTTTATATCGTATCTACCCAGTTGAGCTTTTATGTGTTCAAATCCAAACATTCAAATTTTCAATTCAACCTTTTCCCACGTGAGCTGACGAAGGTTTCTGTGCGATGACGTCGCTTCATATAAACCGTCTAACCGCTCTAACGTGTCTCTCTGTCATTGAGCTCAGACGTCTTTTAAAATTATATCTGTCTTCCAAATTGTTTCTGTGTTGCTTGGCAACAGTCCAGTCCCGGTGCGGTTGCAGAACTGTTTGTGTGGGCGGAGCCTAATAACTCTGTTGCTGCTCTTTACAGTTAATAAATGAGCCTGAAGAGCTGTTGTATCAAAGTGATATCCCACTGAAGGTTTTGCTGTTGGACTGAATATCAGACCTGATTATCTACGACTGGATCACAGCCGTGCAGATATTCAGTCCAACAGCACGACCTCCAGTAATAAAATGTCAGAGAACAGTTTGCTTCATCCTGTAGGCTCGCAGTAGGTGTCTTCTTTACGGCTCCTACATCAGAATGAAGTCCAGGTGTTTGAAGCGTTCACAGACAGACACAGTATTAGCCTTCTGACCTCACTTTGCCTTATCTTGTAGTTTTAATTGGTCGTTGCAGAGCAGAGTCTTTGCAGCTCTGAATCCTCACAAAGTTCACAGAAACCTGAATCCTGCGACCTTGAGTTTCACCTCAACAAGCACTTTTTCCTCCGTATCATCTGCTGTGTGTGTGTGTGTGTGTGTGTGTGTGTGTGTGTTGCGTAACTGTCAGGATTACCTCTTTTTTTTTCTCGATGCCATTTGGCTGGCGCTTTCATCCCGAGCTCCTCGTGGACTTGAGAGTGCATACATGTTGTTGTGATCCGGTGGGAGTCGAACTTCTATCTCTGGCGCTGTTAACGCGGCGCTCTACATGTTGACCTCCTCAGGAGAATACACCCCGACCTTGTTAGTACTGTACGCAGTACGAAAACATGCTGCAGGGTCGAGACGCAGACGACAGGATGTTAATGGTTGATTACATTTTTAAATGGAATCCAAGGTTAGCTGTTATTCAGTGGAGGATACAGTGAGCAGCTGTGTCTTACAGTTGGTATAGTAAAGCCTGTGTGTAACTGTAACTTCATGAGACTTGACTCGTGTGCAGATGCAATGACTCCTAGATATGTGGTCATATACAGAACAGATCCTCCATGTTTACACACTAAAGGGACTGAAACAGGCTCAAACAGCGTCTCTGTGCCGGCGTCCTCTAGTCCATTATCCAGGTTGCACAGGAAGGCAATCCAGGCACTCCAAAAATACAGAAAAGCAGGAAGGAAGTATTAAAAAGCCTTTATTGTGGTGGTGAAATCATTAAAGAGCCAACATGTTTGGGCCAGTCCAGGCCTTTGTCAGGGCTTCAAAAACATAACACAACACAACAAAGCTACGACCTCATGAGTAAATACATTTCAATAATGGCAGAATGGAACGAATCGATTACAGAGTGAAAGAATTCTCTGTCAACATCAGGGTGTATTTAATGGCCACACAAACAACCACCATCTACAATGCTGCCTCCATTTAAAGGTACAATATTACGACCTCCTCCACCGTCGCCTCGTTTGTTGTTGTGTGAAACATCTGACTCCGCCCTCTAGAGCCATCTGTTGGCTGTATCTGTGACACTACCATATAAGATGGACGCTGCGTCTCCACTAACCCCAACTGTACAGAAGTGAAACTAAAATATCCTGGATATGGCAGCAGCCATCTTGTTCTGGTGACGTCATTTGGAGCAAGTTTCCTGCCCATACTCACGTCCAACCAATCGCAAGCAGCGCCGCTGAATGTGAGCCC